CTGTGGTTTTCACACCTGATGGTTTGCTTATGTTGCAGTCGAAACGTCAATAATGTTATTGTTTTATATTTTTGTTATTTTATTGTTTCCAGTCTACGTGACTTTACCGAAAGAACCAAGCATAGGTGTTCAGATAAAACACCAAACTCTGAAACCTTTTGCAAGGAATCATTTCTGAATTAACCACATACTTTTGGTGAACATGCAAACAAAATTCACGCTCTGACAGTGTGCATTGTCTTTGAAACTGATTGGTCCACAGCAGAGAGAGCTTTTGAGCCTCATCTCAAACCGTGTTAGACCAGATCACGCCAAAAGGCGAACAGCACAAAGACAATGCACTATCAGGACATTGAGAGCTCGGGATGAGCTGCTACATCAAGGGAACCGCTCTTGCCATCTTATCACCTGTTGCCAGAATGGGTAAAACCTATTATATGTTGATACTGGCAAGGGAGTACCATGATTAAAAAGGTACTTTGGGTTCAACGATTAGCGTCTGTCCCTGAATGGTCACTTCAGGGCAATGATTAGATTCAACATCACCTTTGACGGTCTTGTTTGAATTTCGCTTTGCAAATTTTGTTCCAACTAATTTTACCATACAAGTTGCATAACTTTGCAAAAAAACGTTTGCGTTACATTGCATGTATCAACTGAACTATCTGTGAAAGATATGACAATCTGGGACTTGGTCTTCGTAAGTCGCACTTCATTTGTAATGCCCCTAGTTTTCGTCTTGTCAATTAGATGGTGTTATTTAATTGCAGTTAGAGGGGAAAAAAACTACCATAGACAAATCAAATTACGTAAAAGACAACTTCGGATTTTGATTTAAAGCTTTCGTGACTGCAGTAATTCATATTCTTAGTTCTTTCGGTAAAGTCACGTTGAAGGGAAACAATAAAATAATAAAATATATATAAAACAATAAAAATTCTCACGACGTTTCGACCATAACACATGACGACCGTTTGTGTTATGGTCGAAACGTGATATTTTTTATTGTTTTATATATATTATTATTTTATTGTTTCCCTTCAACGTGACTTTACCGAAAGAACTAAGAATATGACAACTTCGGATGTTAAGCATTGAAAGTGGCAAAAAAAGAAGTTGGTTGGTAATCAAATCTTAGCCCTTAAGATGTAACCATAAAATGTAACTAATTATAAAATACTGGTAATAATATGCAGATCTCATTGTACACTGCACTCTAGGAAACATTGTTCTTAAGATGAGGGTGTTCCGGATGTGACGACGTTAAAGCAGACCAGCTGTTGTATCAATGAATAATTATACTGCTAGGAAACGTAGTGGACTGGAAGCCCAACCGGGATTAATTCATAGGAGGCAGGGGATTCATTGTGTATGTCTGTCCACGTGGGAGGAGTGGGGCTGGGTGGAGAGGGGAGGGTAGGGAGGGGCTGGGTGGGGAGGGGCTGGGGAGGGAGGGTGGGGCTGGGTGGGGAGGGGCTGGTCACCCCGTGGTGCCCTTATAAAACTCAACGTTTAACCTATTTACGCCGGCTTGTGCCCGCCCTCACAGTCGGGCATATTTGCGGAATACACCACGCCGCCGTTGACCCTGGCCATTGACCGAGCAACCCAAAGTTCCGACCAGCTCCCTCCGCAGGAATGTGTTCTAATTGCACAGAGATTAAATGTCAGTCGTAGAGTTATATACTGCAATCATTAAAGAGACGACTGATTTAAAGAATTGGACCCATTGTTTTCATCACGAAGATCACAACGGATGATTTAGTGGCCAAGCAACCAAAAAAATTAACAGACCACACAATCGAGCAAAGATCACAACATGCACGGTTAAGTATGGTCAAATAACTCCTATGCCGTGAAGGGGGAGGCCTTCAGCGCATTGAGAAGGGGTGCTGCAAACTGCACTTTTAAATCGGCCTTCGTTTCTCGTAGAGTATTTTACGGAGTCCCCCCCCCCGCCCAACCGCCCAAAATACCAAACGCACCTCTGGATGAAATTAAACCGCTAACCATGCGTCTCATGGCGATGGCGCACGTCCGTTATTAAGCACTGGAAGTTTGGTGGATCACAATTGGCGTGAATCGCACCTGCTCGCGTGCGTCGAGGTGCCATACCCTGTCTCGCCGTGAGATGGCGGTACAGTCAAGCGTGGCCGAATCTCCATCTCGACCATCCGCAATGGGATCGAGCGTTGCCCCCTCGCACGCGTGGATTTTCACTAAGTTGCTCCGGTTTCCCCCGCCCCGCAGGTTAATACTCATTAATTTTATGAACACATTTTTACTGTATTTTTTTTTTTAATAACGCACAACTTGGGCAGTTGTTAAAATGTTAGCACCGGCTGACCTGCGTGGCTGCTGTCTTCATCTCTCGCCTCTGAGTCGTCCTCTCTCTCTTCTCGAGTGAGCAAATATCGTGCGGCGCGTTTGCGAGCTGACATTTCCTCTACCGTGTCCGTCGTGCGCCGTTTCGCCTTCGTCGGACGTCCAATGCCACATCCACAGATGGCGCTGCTGCACTACGAAAGGCAGCTGTGCCTCATGTCGCGGTCCACTGGGATATTTCATCGGGTCAACTTAGCAAATAGGAAACGCTTTAAAGCCCCTCCCCGTGTTCCTGGCAAACAGCAATTCCTGATTTACCGGTGTGGGCTGGGTGACTGTTGTCCTTTTTTTAGTAACCGCAGGGCACCAACCCAGCTAATTGCTACCATCATCGAGTAAAAACATCCGGCCCCTTGTGTGTGTCTGTGATTACCCGTGCACACACGAAAGCAATTACTGCCGTACAATCAGCATTCATATTCTTGGTTCTTTCGGTACAGTCGCCTAGATAGAACATTTAAATGAAATCAATTTTAAATTTAAATATAAATACAATTTTTCATAAAAATGTAAGCAAAAAAAACCCACGACGTTTCGATCGCAACACAAGCGATCTTCATCAGGCGCCTGATGAAGATCGCTTGTGCGCTTGTGTTGCGATCAAAACGTCGTGATTTTTTTTGCTTTTATTTTAAATTTTAATTAATTTTTAATTTTAGTTTTATTTCCTATCTACGTGACTTTACCGAAAGAACGTAAGAATATGAATTCCTTGCGGTCACGAAAGTTTTAAGTCAAAATTTAATCGGCGTTCGTTTTTCTTTGGGGAGTGACGTGGACCGCCGTAGCCTTAGCAAGGAAAAGGCCCTTCGACAACTTTCAGAGGCGCGCCTACATAGATAGTGTCACAAACCGGCCTTACCGTCTCCTGTCGCCGATTGCTTACCACGGAAGACAATATTAATAATAGCAGGTCGCCAATAATTTTTGGGGTCTAATGTATAATTATCATCATCATCATCATTCGCCATGATAAATCCACTGCTGGATGGAGAGCAAGCCATGTCGCCATATATTCGACCCCGCACATGCACGCACGAGCTGATTTAATCGCTCCATCTCCCGCGTTAGCGTCCACTTGGACGGGTTTCCGACCTTTGGACTGCCTTTAACCATCGGTCATTATCCAGTCCAATCACATTTGCCTTTATTACGTTTTAATTATGCCCTTTAACAAGTGCGTATTCTCAAACATGCAGGGTGGTCCGGATGTCTTGTGATCTCAAATTAATTGACCCGTAACATTATTTTTTTCACTTTGCATATTCATCTCTGTTTTAAATAAACCCTTCTTTAAAAATATATATTACATATTCTTGGTTCTTTCGGTAAAGTCACGTTGAAGGGAAACAATAAAATAATAATATATCTAAAACACCGAAAGAACCAAGAATATGAATCACTGCAGTCACGAAAGCTTTAAATCAAAATATATATTACCTTTGAGAGAATTAAATTGGGGGTCATAAGACATCTGGACCACCCTGTGTTCCTCTGTGTCTCTCTCAATGTACTTTCAAAGCACGCATCTCTACATAACATTTATTTGCGCACTTTTCAAGTTTGATTCCGTTATTATTGTTAACGACCACTCACATCGACGTGACAGCGGTGATCTTACTTAACTACAGATTCAAACAAACCTGTTCAAAAAAAACATCGTGCGTGGGTTTGGACAGGACATATGTCTTAAAGAAACAATATTTTCGAAGTTCTGAAATAATGGCTATGACATGCAAGGGATGTAACGCGTCCGAGGAGGTTTTCGTTTGTCCGGGAGATGGACCAATGAAATCGGCTCGCGTGCAAGTTTTACGTGGACTCAAACATCGCAGGATCGCGAGCGACAGCTGTAGCTTTGGGAGGCCTTCATCCAGCAGTGGATTGACCGTGGCAGATTACAATGACGTGACTAAGTTCGTGGTGGATATCATCATAACGTCGTCAATAACCCCTCGTATTTGCACGCGTTCGCTCAATTCAAGAAAAATCTGCCGTGCACGCGTTTGGGTCTGCAAACCACGACCGCGTTGAGTTGCGATTCCAGGCCACGGCTGTCTGGAGCGACGAGTGATCATTCGGACACCTCAACCCCGCCGCTTCACAAACCCGCACTGACTCCACGTGGTGAAGTAGAGTCAAAACCCCACTTCAAATAAACCAGCGCAAAACATGGGCTTGGTTCTTCATCCAGCGGTGGATTGACAAAGATCTGCTGCGCATCATTAATTCCACGCGTCGAAGAGTGCCCTAGACGGCCTTCGTAAAATCAATCTCGCATTTGATTTCCACTCACCCATCCACCCATTGTTCTGCGTGTTAAAGTAAGTATCGGGGTAGACACAGCGATCATTTGGAACAGTGTTACAACTTTCACCCCCGCCCGCCCGCCCCCACCACCACATATCTTCATCCTCCAACGCGAGTTATTCACATGTGGTGGTGGTGATTTCTGGAATGTAATTACGTAATGTCATAACATATATTGGCCATGTCGCGACGAAGCGAAGCGAGAGAGTGGGGAGCGTGAGAGTATGTGTATATACATATATAACCACGTGCAAAACACCCTTTCAGTCGTAAGAACTGTTGTTGTGTTGAAGAGGCTTTAATTTGCTTTGCTGAAAATCTGAAAGAAGTGGGTGGGTGGGTGGAGGGGTTTGGTTATATGTTCGCCCTCCCGCCTCGGATAACTTTAAACCCATGTGCTACCAAAGTCCCTCCTCTGGGTGCTGTATTAAACACACACACACAAAGTAGGAGGGGGTGAGACTCGGAAAAATAAAACAAGAGCCGGCTTCTTGTGAGCGGTGTGGGGAAAGCGGGACATACATTACACACACGCACGCACACGAGAGAGAGAAGCTTGATTTGATAGCTGCGATTGTTTTTTTTAAGCAAGGAGGGTCTCTGTGTGTGTAGGGGGGGGGGGTGTGCGACAAAACTGCTCCCGTCTGCCGCTCCTCCTCCGCCTTAGCGCTGAGCTTAAGGCACCGCTGGCAGGGTGAGAGGCGACTTCACATCGTGCGGACAAACGATCGGACGCGACCCACAAAAACCAAATCCAAGACCCCCCCCCCACCCCGAGCACATCGTCATCCCTGTCGCTCTCTCTCTCTCTCTCTGCCTCTGCTGCACTCCGAGGGACGCGGCTGCCAGATACATCTCCGTAGCCGTCTGCGCAGGGTTGAGCAAGCCGGTCAACTCGCGGCGCTTTACTGCGAGGGATCGAATTAGTCGGCGATCATGGAGGAGGAGAAGAAGAAGATGATGCTTCTTCTGTTCCTGTCCTTTGTGGCGCTCGCCAAAAGTGAAATGGTAAGTTGCGGCCACGCGCTGCCTCGATAAGCACCCCGATGTTGGACGTGTGGGTCTTGTCTGTGTGTGTGTGTACTTGCGCGTCTTTGCGTTGTTTAATATTTGATTCGCCACGGCGGTCAAAAACAAGGGTCGACCAAGCCCGCGTTTGAATGTCAACAAAACTCACGTCGCTGCTCTCTCACCTGATTTACCTGCGCTCGCGATGTATTTGATGTGGCCAGATTGGACCGGGTATCGTAACTCGGCGTGTTTCTTTTGCCTCGATTAAGAAGGGACTTGTTGATGGGAGAGTTCCTGCAAAATACCGTGCTGGCAATCCAATCAGAAAACCGACGCGTTAAGTCGACCAGTATTTGTCAAACTCCGCTGATGAGATACAGAAAGCGGCAAATGACCCAGAGGTTTCCCTTCTTAAACATTCGCTGCTGGATAATAATAATATTAATAGTCGGTGGACTGCATAGCCGATGGGCTCATGGAATTAAACTGTTTCGTTTTGATGTGGAGTGGCGATAGGACGCCTATCAGATGTCATGCTGGAGTGTATTCTTACTGTAAAACTCTTTGAACTCTACTCTACAAAATTCTCGGCCACGGAATTAACCAATTAATTAGTGACCACACGCGTTGTGCTTGGGAAGCATTTACAATCTTATTCAATGTTATTATATTGGACTATATAATACATGTCCTGTATATGGACGTATAAAGTTACGTTAAAACAATAACTGGAAACCCAAGTGCTGCGCTTTAAAGATAATGCACAAAAATAATACGCACTGCATATCCACCGTGCGTGTGCGGTTCGAGCGGTGTTGCAGTGGTTAGCGCACCGCGCTCGGAGCTGGGCTACCTGAGTTCGAATCAGGAGCACAGCCGGCGACCCTGCCCGAATTCTACCCTCTACCACCCACCATCTTCTCCTTCACTAACCCCCACTGACCAGTATGGTGAATTATGATCAAACAATCTTCATGGCCAGCATGGCTCTGGGAGGCTTTCATCCAGCAATGGATTGATTGGCATAGGCTGTGAATTATTTCTGTAACGTAATTATGTATATACTGTATTATCCTTACTGTCGTTTTTATGTGGACTATACTCGTGTTTGCCCCTGATTGCGTATATTATATAGCAGAGGTAAGACCGTATTGTCACATTGTCTTATTACAATTTACTGTGTTGTGAAATGGGAACGTATAGCACATTATGCTGCTACAGTATGTATAGGTGGCCCAAAAGTCAGTACACAGGGTTATCATGTTATTTTAACAAATCACATGGGGTTATTTAATTTATTTTGACATTTGTTTAAATGACTGCCATTAACATTCATTCATGACTGAATACATTTTTTTATTTTTTGTAGGATTAAAAAAATATACATTTGCCTTTTTTAGCATTCATAAAAAAACTAATTGAACTGGTCTTTAGTCAATGTTTCTACATTTCTAAATGTCATCTGAAAAGCAAGAAAAAAAATCGATGTGAATAATGGTAATAGAAACATTGTATGCATGAATCACAAACAATAAAAATATTTAAATGCCAGTATTAAAATAATTGAAATAGCCCTATGTGTCCTGACTTTTGGGCCACCCTATATTATACCCACATTACTCTAAACAACACCGCGCTCTGGATTAACAGCACCCGTGGGAATCGCTACTGGATGCCCAGTATTGATGGCATCAACAGCTCGTATTCTCTCTAATGAGATCCTACAACAGCGCGGGCCCTGAACTGGCTCAGGAGGACATTTAAAATGCCATTCTATGTGCTGTGCAGACAGAACATGGCAGGTTATCGATTTCTCGATACAACTTCAAGCTCAAAGATTTTTGTATTCTACAGTAGTGCCTCACTTTGACTACGGGGTGTTTCTGTTTAAAGGGGGTAGGGGGCGCATAACGAGGAGATGATATAGAGGGGTTGACCTATCCGATTGCTGAGATTATTAAATGCTCCGAGAGGTCCGGCTGCATTTACAAAGAAAATAAAACTCATGTGTGGGCACACATAGACACTCATACATCACCTTGTTTCTAAATCATAATAATAAATATATTTACGTATTTTCAACCAGCTGCTGGATGAAGCCCCCAATTGCACATAACATATCAAACATGAGAGTTGTTTGACCATACTTCACCATCTTGGATAATGTGGGTTGGGTGAAGCGATGTGCACAGGACCAGTTCAGATGTCATTCGTCGCTGGTGTGAGTTACTGGTTGGAATTGAACTCAGATTATGAGGTTCATAGGTTCATAGTGGAGGGCACAAACCACCACGCCAATTCCTTGTGTCTTATGCATTTGCAAACAGTGTGCAGAAATATGGTCAGGGATTGCATCTAGTGTTGCATGTTTGAGGAACTAATAGTTCAACATAAATAATTAACTGCTGCTCAAATGGAAAGATAATTGATGCTCTTCAAAAAAAACACATTTAATTTGAAAAGTAATCGCATGATAACATTCCATTGCAAATTCCGAGTGGTGCAGGATAGCGTTCCATAATTAGGCGTGCAATTTAAAATAATGAATCAGATTTAAAAAAAACACTCTTTAGACGAGTGTGCTGGGGTGTAGGGAGGCATGAGTGAGTACAGGATGAGAAACGCGACTCGCGCACGTGGCAACTTAACAGCACCCAGAAGGGACCTCGACACGTGGCCCATAGTTTGGCTGACTCCAATTACAAAAGAAGTCATTAATCCTAGACGTAGGAATGTCTATTGCTTACATTCATGCATGCGCGATGAGCTCCAAATGCTGCCCTTTTGGGAACTCGGGCGCTTGTTAACCAACTTGCCGTGAAACAAACGTGCAGCCCAAGAGAACTAATGGCGTCACCTCAGCCATGGCCCCAGGAGCTATAAGCGAGAACACTTGCAACAAAGCCACCGGTATCATTTTACTGGTTGAGTTGCATTTGATTGTAATGCCACATGAAGACCGGCTGTGTGTTCTGACTCTGGTGCTAGCCACAGGCTATCCGTGTACACATTCCAGGAATTTGATTTTTTTTTAAAGATCCTTGGTACAGAAAAAAAATATAGTGAGACATTGGGTTACAAGTCGGGCATATTTTTGGTCACACCGTGAGCACAAAGGGCATGAATTGCAGAATGGATTGAAGGCCGCGGCTTGGAGGAGGTTCCATTTGCAGTGGATTTGTGATTTGACATTTCACAGCAGATCGGGCATTGAAAGCATATGTTCTAACTGCTGTCCACTGGGTTCTACCAAGGGGTCGGTGTAATATTTCATGGGTTGTGGTGCCTTTGCACACCCCACCTCCTCTGCCTTTAACTCTTGCTTTTGAGATTGCAGCCGTTGTGGAGGGCTGGAAAGTGGTTGTGGGGAGGTGTCTCCCTGACGTTGCACAAGTCGAATGGGATTGGATGGTTTTCTTACTTGGGGCAATCAGGTGTTTTGGTGCCAACCAATCCTGTGGCACTTGAATTTGCCTCGTAAACATCTTTGATGCAGTCTACTATCTATTTTACGTCACGATGCCTTTATTTTGAAAACGTTGTTTTCAAGGCCGCAGTACAGCGTGGTTACAAATGTTACGAGAGCTATAATACGTGGCTCTATTTTCTCTGAAGGGTTTTTTTGTGGAGTTGACGGATGAACAATAATAAGGCAGTTCCTGTTTTTTTTTTAAATGCGTTACACATTAAGACTAATTCTCAAGTCGGGTAATCTATTCAAAAATAAATCCACGTGGCTAGCACAGGAGATACGTTTGACATTAACCCCTGAGGCAATATCTGAAATTCCACTAGCTAGATTTTGAATCAAGTGCCAAGGGAAAAAAACCCAAGTTATTCTACCAAGGTGACTGAGAGAGCCAAGAGTCAGTGCTTTTGGAGCGCATGGGATTTGCCGTGCACAGTTGCCAACTGACTGTTCTAGGAGTGAATTTGTTAAATACATGTTTTTTTCATATCACACGAATGTATTGGGTGCAATATAGACGCATTAATTAATCGTGATATTTTGCCCTTCGCGAATCCACTGCTGGATGAAGTCCTCTCATTGCTGTGCTATTGGCCATGGGGGTTGTAGGGGTTTGTTTGACCATAGAGTCCTTCAAAATTGTGGTCAGTGTGGGTTCGTGAAAGGGGTGGGGGGGGGGGGCCTGGACTAGTTATCATCCATGGCAAGGCATCAAACTTCGATTTGACTGGTTTATCGCACAGTGTGTCAAACACTGCGCCACCACTCTCTTAGCCATAGCTAATGCAATGCATGTCTGCCAACGGAGTACCATAATTTTGTTAAATAACTACTATAAAAGGGTTAACTGTTATTTCCCAACAGATCTAAATTGATTTTTTTCCCTTATGCCATTAGTGCGGCATGAAAGGTAGTTTGAACTCTGGCTTGAAGGATCGGGCTATGATGCCCACTGGAGAAGATTAAAAGTGTCTCACACATTTGGGGTGCACTTCATTGAAAACCGAAGAGCACATATATCATTTGGACACCACTTTCAATGCGTTATACACGGGAGCCTTCTTGTCTTGCAAGCTATTATTGTTGCAGCTTGCAACAAAATAACAAAATGGTATGAAAGTCTGGGCGTGTTCTTTTGTGTTATAGAACTGAAACTCCGTGTCATAAAATGCATTAAAGCTGAAATACACGTATAAAACATAATTTATCCAGTTGCCTGTTTTTTACGTACGTAATTATATATAGTTTTTTTTTTTTTAATATGTGAAATTTATAATGCTACTGTGGCATAAGAGTTTAATGACATTGGGATTTGTAATCCAGAGGTCTGGAGGTTACCATTCGACCTCCAAGCATAGCAGTTAAAACAATGGGCACATTTCTTAAATCCCTCCACCTCTGTCCACCCAATCGGATAAATTGGTTCATCACAGTTACTTGATTGGCAGGTCACGTGTGGTGGGGTAAAGTATTGGTATTCCCATCTCTTCCAAGACGTATATATGGCCAGCGTGCATATATGTATGTA